TAATATATTATATATCATATGTTATAGTATTATATAATATGTAACTTAATATAACTATATATATCCCTTTTCTGAATTAACCCTTTTACTGATATACAATGAATTTCTTTTGTCTCTTTTTACTGATTTTGGTTTAAAGTCTACTTTATCCAATTTTGATTACCTCTGCCTCCCCAGTGCTGGGATCAAAGGCATGCACCACCACGCCTGGCTAACTCCCTTAAGTTTTATTTTAAGAAAAGTCTGGTGGAGATACAACCTTCAAATTTGGTTTGTCTGGGAATGCCTTTATTTTTCCATGATTTTAGGAGTGGCTTTGATGAACATAGTGTTCTTTTTGCATTATTTCATGAGTGAGGATTTCTAAGATAGCGCTGAAAAGAAGTCGCGATAGCATCCTTGCTTCCTTTTGTTGTGGTTCAAATTTTATTTAGTTTACATGTATATGTGTGTGTAGGTATGTGTGGAGATCAGAGGACAAATTGCAGGAGACCAGTCTCTCCTGTTATCTGGGATCTGGGGCTTGAACTCAGATCCTCAGGGTGGTGTACAAATGCCATTACCTGCTGAACCATCTCACCAGCCCTATCAATGTTTTCATGTTGTGGCCTCTGTAGTATCTATTTGATATTACATTTTGTTTTAACTTCCACTTTATTGTTAAGCAATAAAATCTGGTGCCTTTTCATGAGTTGACTGTCAATTCACATATCTTCTTTTGCTAAAATTAGATATGTCTTTATTGGGTTGTTTGTGCTCTTATTAGTTAATTGTAACTCTTCCTATGTTTTATTTAAAAATTCTTTGTGATAGGTTTTATCAATGCATACTCTCAGTCTGTGGCTTTCACTTAATATTTCCATGTATTTCTTAGCTTCTTAAAAATGTCTTCTGGAACAGAAGTTTTGAATTTTGATGGAGCTTGATTTATCAATTGTTTTTTTGTATCTATTTAAATATTATTTGTCAGCACAAAGTCTCAAATGTTTCTTTTACCTATTCTAATAGCTTTTAGGATAGAGTTTTGTAGTTTTAGCTTTTGTCTATATTCAACTAAAAGTTCATTTTATAAATGGTTTGTCATAATAATCATCTTCATTTTTTCATGGGTATCTACTATTATCTCATTCTTATTTCATGAAAATATAACTTTTTTTGTAACTTGAAGTAACATCTCAGATATACTTATTTGAAAATATGCAACAGCAATTTTATTTTATTCTTAATTTTAAGAATTTTTTGAGATTTTCATTCATGAGTATTGTGTTTGCATTATTTCCATCCCTCTCAGTCCCCCAACTCCTCCCATGTTCCCCCACTCCCTCTTAATTTCTTGTCCTCTTCTTTGAGTATTACCATTACATATACATACATATATTTATAAATACACATATGTGTGTGCGTATATAACACACTGAGTCCATTTAGTGATGTTCATGTGCATGTGTGTTTAGGGATACCCACTTGAAATCAGCCTGTTAGGGAGCTAGTCCTTGGAGAAAACCGATTCTCCCTCCCTAAGCATCCATTGATTTTCTATAGCGCTTCATCCTGAGGTGGGACTCTGACATTTCCCCCATCCACCTTGGACTGTCAACTGGCTTTGTCCTTATGCAGATATTCTTAGACAGTCTTACAGTAGAAATTTCATTGGTGAAGCTTCCCCATCGTGTCTAGACAAAGTAACAATTTTAAATAAGTAATGTGAAATTATTTTAAAATTCCAGTCTTCTGCAAGATCAGTAAACACTTAATGGCTGAGCCATCTCTCCAGCCCTGCTGCCCCCATTATGTACTTTTTAAAGAACATTATGTAGATGATGTTATGTAAACCTCACTGCTTTTCAGTCACTATGACCAAATTCTTGAGATTAAAAAACTTAAAGGAGGGAAGATGTATTCTGGTTCATAGTTTCAGAGGTTTCAGGCCTTGGCTGGTTAGCACCATCACTGTAAGTCCTGTGGCAGGATAGACACATCATGGTGGAAGGACATGAGTACTTCATAGCAGGTAGGAAGCATATGGTGGGGAAAGAGGATACCCCTTCCAGTGATCTAGTTCTCCACATCTTAGTTTCTTCCATCTCACAATGCCATTAAGTTACGGATCCATCGTTGAGTTAATCCACTGATGGGGTTAGAATTTTTGAGATCCAGTCACTTCCCCAAAACCTATCACCTGGCACTCAAGCCTTTACATACAAGCTTCAAGGAACCTTTTAGATTTAAACTATGTAATACACATGAGTTGAGTGAAAATGGAATAGAGCAACAGGTGGGGACAGACACCACTGTCTAACCTTGGCAAAAATTACAGGTAATTCAGAAGGATTTGCCATCAGCTTCCCAAGTATTCTGTCCTTTGACTTCTAATGGAGATCAAGGTACAAAAATCACTGCTCCTGGCCTTGAACTCTTCCCTGTTGTTACTTGGTTGGTCTTTGTGGTAATGCCCCTGTTCTTTGGATCTGGACTTCCTTTTCTGTAGGCGACAGAAGTTGGAGTAGGTGAGTTCCTTCATTCCTTCCTGCTCCTTATGTCTTTATTCCATACTTTTGTCCATTATTTTCAGGGCACAGATTTAATAACATCACTGACTTCTGTGCTATATGATGACAAGGTGTTCCCCAACCCAGAGAAGTTTGACCCTGGCCACTTTCTGGATGAGAACGGAAACTTTAAGAAAAGTGACTACTTCATGCCTTTCTCAACAGGTATTTGAAATTCGTTTCCCTGACCTTGAACTTCTGAGCTCAAGCTGTTCTAGCTGTTTGAGGGTGACACTATGGAGTGCGCTAATAGGCCTGATTTCATGCGATACACCTTTGAGATAAAAGCTTCCATGGTGCCTCCTGGGAGACAGGCAGACTCTCTCTGTATATCCCCAGGAGCACCACAACCAATATCCATGCACGTTCCTTGATTGTGATACATCCTCACTGTGATTCATATTATTGAGTGTGAAGAGTGTCTAACACAGCTTTTCCAAGTTGAGAAAGCCAAGGTGTATTTATCAACTGAGTGTGGCCTCTTGATATAGCACTGAGCTGCCCAGAAGTTCCTCTGAGGAGTGAACTTTAGACTTTCCTCACCTCCTGTGAGAAAAACATCTAAACCCTCATTCCGAGTATCTCCTCAGTGGTGTCCCTCACTCCCTGAGAGCTCTGGGAATGCAACTATCCTAGAGAATGTAAAGGGCTCTTAAGAGACTCACAACTGAGTTAGGGAAGGTGGTGAGTAAACGTCACTGTAACCCAGTGGATTAGTGCTGTGAGAGAGGAAAGCTCAGGTTTCTCAGGGGATTCGAGGGAAGCTGCTCACATTCTGCTCTTTCATACACCAACATGTTCTCACAGGACAAGGAAAGTTGTGTGACTCATAGGGAGCAAGGAAGCAAGACAAGAGGAGGAGGCACTTTAGAGAGGAAATGGAGTGCAGGAGGGACATTTTCTGAAGAGGCAGTGGGTCAGAGCCTTCCAAGTAAATGCAGGCTGAGAAAGGCCTTGGCCTTGTGGATGGATAGTCTGCAGTGATTCCAGAGCCCCTCGAGTTTCCTTTACTTATCATGCACCTTGGATGTTGAGTCTCATGGCTCAATTGTATGTGCTGAATCTCTACATATGGAGACACCTCCATTTTTTGCTGTGTGTTTTTATGTTGGGTCTGCACGGTATATGACAGACTGAACCCCTCTCTTTAATGAACTCATATTTTGGCAAGGAGGTAAAAGCAAAGAGCATAATTTTCAAGTCATCCATACTGCAGTGGAGGTATGAATCTAGTGAGAATCTAGAGTAAGATTCTCTTGCCTGAGGAGCATAAAGAGGACATGGCACAGTAGGTCCTGAGAGGAGTATCAGAGAGTGCGACTTAGACAATCGTGTAGCTGAAGCTTTCGACTCCATGGTGTTGGAGGTTGGGGAAGGGACTTGTGTCTGGAGCTAAGAAGTGGAGAGCAAAGCATTGAGTATCAGAAAGGAAACAGAATGTGAAGGTCCAGATCTAGCCATTTGGATCTTATCTCATAGGACAGATAGAGGAGCCATTTAAAGCAAGGGGATCATAGGTTTAGATGTGATTTTGAAAAATCCCTAGGTATAAAAATATTCTGTAGCCATTTATTCTCACAGGCACAAGTGGATACACAGTGTGTGGTTCTCCTTCCCACTCTCCTCTTCAGTCCACCAGATCAGCAAGGTGAATGTGTTTGTAGAAGACTGACGGCAACTTGTGTGAATTGTTCCTGAAGTTGTGACATAGAACTGATAATAAATACTGCCTGCTCAACCATCCTTCTAGCCATTTTGTATTTTATCTGCCCTCTACTTAAGAACCAGACAGTTACTGGGTGCTTTTACAACAGTTCAGAACCTACTGTTTAAGGAGGGAATCCTCTGTGTTTGCTTTTGTTTTTCAGGAAAGCGGATGTGCGTGGGAGAGGCCCTGGCTCGCATGGAGCTGTTTTTGTTCCTGACCACCATTGCACAGAATTTTAATCTGAAATCTTTGGTTGATACAAAGGACATTGACACCGTCCCAGTGGCCAGTACTTTTGGCCGTGTGCCACCAGTATATCAGTTCCGCTTCATTCCTCGTTAAAGAGAACAGACCATCTGTTGCTATGCTATCACCAGTGATTTCTTTGTGGGGCGCTGTCCATCTCCTCCCCACTATTAACAACACCTCCTCTCTCATCTCCTTTCATATCTCTCCATTTCCTCTCAAGTCAGTGAGCATCCAGCCTTCATCAAGGAGACTTTCTTGAGTCACACCCAGATTTATCCACTGTTCTGTACAGTTTGTACACTTATATTGGCCACCACCAGTACTAACACTTAAACAGTTATTAGTATGTGATGAGTGTAATTCAGAAAAATTCAACTAAACCATCTCTGTTCTGCATATTTCAAAATAAAAGACATTATTACCTGTAGGTTCATTTTTCAAGCTTCTTTTTGTGTTGCATAATGTATGTAAAGAATGAAAAAAGGAAAGCCATTGTCACAGTGGAATATAACCTTTCACATATTAGGATGGGGATTACAAAATTTAAATGAAACAAAAAAAATCAGAAAATCTTTAGGAGACATAGGAATTGGGATTCTTCTAAAAAAATTTTTTTCAGTCTATTTGAAACAGGGTCTCGCTATAGCCCCAGCTGGCCTGGAACTCACTGTGTAGACCAGGCTGGTCTCGAACTCACAGAGATCTATGTGCCTCTGCCTCCTGAGTGCTGGGACTAGAGGCATGTGCCACTACACCCGGCTTCTAAAAATTTTTAATGCATAAAGAACATTTATAAATAAGTAAGAAAACAGTGACCAATGACCTAGACCAAAAATTGATGAAAACAAAGATAAATCAGAGAAAAATAAGCACAAGTATATTTAAAATAAAGATGCCATCTCCACTCATAGAGAAACATTAAGTGAAATAAATATCATTTATCTATCATATTATTGAAGAAGTCTGGGTTGCTCAGGATTTGAAGAAGCAGTCAGTGCCCCTTAATTGAGCAATGTTCCTGACATTCATGTAAGTCTTCCACCATTTCACAGAGTAATAGAGGATTGGAAAAAAAAGTAATGGGATTGGGATGAAGTGGACATCAATACAGGACTGACCAAATATCAGGGTGTATCATGGAATAGTACAGAAGAGAGAATTGGAATTCTTTATTTTACTTTATCAACTTTTCAAAACCTGGATGGCTTCATACATTTATATATTGGCCTGCCATTGCAGCCATTGGCGTATATGTGCTGGTTCTATAATATTTTTTTACCATGGCTCTGTAGTGCAATTTGAAATCAAACATTGTGATAACTCCAGCATTAATCTTTTTACTTGGAATTGCTTTGGGTTCTCGGGGTCTTTTTTGCTTCCATATGGATTTTATGATTATTTCTTCTCTTTCTGTGAAGGATGATGTTAGAATTCTGATGAGGCTTGCATTGATCATAAATCACTTTTGGTAATACAGCTATTTTTAAAATACTTATTTTGTTGATTCATGGGCATTGTAAAGATTTTCTACTTTCTTCATTAAGTTTATTATATGTTTTTAAAGCTATTGTGAGTGGGATTGTTTTCTGACATATTTCTCAGCATGCTCATTATTGGTAATTATATAGGAACGCTATTGACAATTTCATATGTTGATTTTTTATCCTGCTGCTTTGTTAAAAGTGTTTATCACTTCTAAGAGTTCTGCGGTGGGGTCTTTGGAGTTTGCTAAGTATAGGATCGTATTGTTGAGATATTTTGACTTGTTCTGCTATTTGTATCCCTGTTATTTCTTCTTCTTGTCTTATTGCTTTAGCTGACTTTAGAGAGCTTAGACACCCTCAGTCTTATGGCTTGTGATAGGTCTGTTTAAATTATTTCCTCTTGCTTTAACTTTGGTAAGTCATATGTATCTAGAAATTCATCAATTTCTTTTAGATTTTCCCAATTTAGTAGAATATACTTTTTTTGTATGTTTATTGATTTGTATATGTTGATCCAAACTTGCATCTCTAGAATATAACTAGCAGGGGTAATGCAGTTTGTAAAAATTTTATTGATGTTTTGCACTTATTATGTTTGGTAAAATACTATGTTATGGTAATTTTTTTGGCTGTTTTGAGACAGGCTCTCCCTGTAGCCCCATCTGGCCTGGAACTCATGATGTAGACCAAGCTGGCCTTGAATCCACAGAGATCCACCTGCCTCTGCCTTCAAGTGCTGGGATTAAATGTGCCACCATTCCTGGCTCATGCTAAGGTGATTTGATTCAGGATTTTTGAAATTTCACTGACTTCTTAAATGACCCAGTGTTAATTTAATTACGTGTTTCCATATATGTGTGTATGGACAATTTCTTCAGTTTCTCTTGCTTTTGATCTCTAGTTTCATTTCATTTCATTGTGATCAGATGAGGTATAAAACATTGCTTCAATAGAAAATCTTATTGAAGAAACAAATGTAGCGGTTAGGAAGTAATGAAACTGATACTAGAAAATCAATATAGAACATCTGTATAGAACACTGAAAACTGATGACTTGAGAATAAAAATAGAGAAATCTAACTAATTAAACAGAAACATAAAACAGAGAAGACACAGTTTGCTCACATCAGAATCAAGAGATGAGTCATCTCCACAGACACCATGGACATTAATAGAATAATAATGTTGAAGGAGACAGAGCAAGATGCTGGCTAAGAAACTCCAGGGGCTATTTCCTTTTATACACGTTGTATTAGTTACTTTTCTCATCACTGTAACAAAATACCTGACAAAAGATACTTAAAAAAGGGCAGGTTTGTTCTGGCTCATGGTTTGAGGGTACAGTCTGGCAGAGAAGCCATGACATGAGGCAGGTGGTCACACTGTCTGCAGTCAGGAAGCTGAGAGAGGTGAATGCCGATGCCCATCTTGATTTCTTCTGCTTTCATTTTTACTCAGCTCAGGACTCCAGCCCATGAGAAGGTGCTGTCATATTCAGGGAGGGTTTTACCTCCTTAGTTAAACATTTCTGAACTATCCTACTAGACATGTCCAGAGGTACATTGACTATGTGATTAAAAATCCAGTTAAGGTGACAATGAGGACTAAGCATCATACACACTGAGCTGAACAGCTGTTCATGCACCAAACCACCTTCACAAGATCTCAGGAAAGCAAACGAGAGACCGCAGTGCCTGCCTTCAGTATAACAAAGAGAAGATTCACTGAAGAAGGTAGGAAGGAATTGCCTGAGTCAATCCTCTTCCTGTTCTTCAGAGAGAGGCATCTTTCAGAGGCACCTTGCTGGAATGAGGATGAATTAAATCTGGGTCTTATTTGGAAGGCAAGTGTCTGTCTCACCATGGTGAAACCCACTGTTAAACATGGTACCATTATACCCTACTGCCCGGTCAATACCTCAGACCAAGCTACTGGAACTGTGTTAGTTTGTTGGTAAAGAGCTTGCTTTACTTCTCCTCCAACCTCTGTTGATAAAGCAGGGGAGCAAGACTACACTTGCTGGGGACATGAAAATTGGCACAGGTCTTTTTCTTGAAGCATAGTGCCAGGCCTGCAGCAGAAATCAAAGTAGTGCCAGGCCTACCGTAGAAATCAAAGGCCTCCTACACAGGCCCAGAGCTCACAGAAGACTCTGTAGATCTTCCTGACTATCAGGTACACTGGTGAACCATACTTCAGTTTCAGTCTACATCATTGCCAGATGTACAGTGGGCCTGAAGCTTCCCTTCAGACTGTGAAGGTGTCAGTGGCTGAAACTCTGGCAAGACCTGGCTTAGCATCAGACTTGGTTATTCAAGGGACTGACTCTACAACCTCCTACGCCCAGGCAGTACAAGTGTCATTGAGCCAGTGGTTTCAAATAAAGCCCTAAACCTGTTCTAGCATTAAGACCCACTTGTATTTTGGTTTGAATCATTGATAGCTGTAGCATGGGCCTCACTCTACCCCTGTAACAGGCAGGTCTTTGCAGTGTGAGACTCAGGTGTGTTCTAACCTAGCAGGTCTAGGTGAGCAAAGGACTGTCTTTACAAACACTTCTGCAACCCGGGGCAACATAGCACTGACCAAGGCATTGTTTTCTGGGGATGGAGTGGGGCAAGGGCAAGGTAGTTATCACATGACTGTGTTGGAACTTAACGCTGAGTTGATGAAATATAACACTGAGGATATCCTAATGGTTCTCACCTCTGGGTTTTCTTGCATCTGGAACTGCCCCAGTGTCAGGGAAAGATCTACAGCCCCAGTTCTTTTGGACTTCCATTCAAGCCAGCACCATTGTGGCTGAAACTGAGGTCTTAGGTCATGAGTCTGCTCTAGCAGTAGGCAGCTCAAACCACTATGAACCTTGGATCTACCTGTGGGTTAAGGCTTCAGGCTGTTGGCTCAGGGCATTGGTTTCCACAAATGTAGCATAGGAACTTGGAACTGGATCATAACGATCATTGTATCAAGTTCTGGGCAAAATTCTGCAGTATCTGACTACAAGCTCATGAGTTAAGTGTCTGGTCCTACTCCAGTCCCAGGCAGAGGCTAGTGTGGGAATGGAGTACCCTCTCTAGGCATTCCACTGGCTTATTCTGAAACACAGGACACTATTTGGAACAAATCTGGACTTGGATTGTCAGCATAGTGCTGAAACCATGACATTGCACAAAAAAACGGACAAATCTCCAGTTGATTGTCCCTTGGTGCTGAAATACTGGAAGTGACTACAGGTTGAGATCAACCACATAGAACTGCTGGAAAGACAGGCATAAACAAAACCAGATTGTAAAGACTGAAATAAGCACATGATCTTTCGGTTCCCAGATGATTTTTCACACCACAGGCATAAAGAGCTGTTAGGAAGCCATAATCTCTCATAACAGTCAAAATAATATGTCAGAAACTGACAAGATAGAACCAGTATGGGATAACTGTCAGGGCTTTAAGTCCAACTAGACAGCTGTTGATTTCCCCCCAGATAACAGTACCATCACTGCACTAATAGAGGCAGTTTGCCATGCCAGTTGGTCATTATGGTTATTAGGCTATAGGGCTGGGTTGGACCATTGATTGTTTTTCTCCCTTGGCATTATGATGGTTAAACTTCAGGTAGAAGGCTTTCAGGTCAGTTCCTGGTCCATTGCTCCAAGTCTTTGAGAAATGTACATACAGTGTCTAAACATTAGTTCATATGTAAACCTGGGAGCTGCTTGGCAAGGAACACAGTGCCAGACAGAAGAGACCTCCCTTTAAGTGGTTGGTGAGAGTGGTCCAGGAGACTCTCAAAATAACACAGGCTATTGCCATGTGTCTTGGTTATCTCCCAGAACTAGTAGATAAGACCCCACTGCTGAAGACAGGTCATACTTCAGATACAGCATTTGCTTTTCTCACTTTTTAGATAATTGGCATATTTCCCACAGCACCAAGAGCCCAT